ATCATATTTTGAATAATCAATTATACTTTCATTTTTTTCGGCCATTTAACCATTTACATAGCTGTCAACAATTTTTTTAAAGGTTTGAAACGAAAAAAATGAATGAATGACTAATAATGCATTTGAAGCCATTTTGCAAAGAAAATAATAAAAAATCAATAAAAAATTTTTTTAAAAAAATTCTTTTATTAAACATACTTTAAATTTGATGTATTTACGTTACATTTTAATCAGTATAAAATTTAAATTCACGTATGTCAATTATTAATTGACGGAAATTTGAAACTGATGTCTAATATATTAATCGAACGTACGATCAAAAATTTAGTATAATTTTTGTGAATCTATACTGCAGTACAGTACTATTTTGAATACCTTAAAACTACGTATGTTACATTTTAATCGATATAAATTTTAACTCAGGTACGTTAATTTTAATTAACGGTTATTTAAAAGTAATAAATAAAAGAGAGAGATCATTCTAGCTGGTTCTTGTGCCATCAACCTGGCACATAAAATAAATTATCTATAGAATAAACTATATATAAAATAAAATTATCTATAAATTAATTGTCTATATTCAAGAATTGCATAGTGGAGTCATGAAATTTTTTTGAATTATTTTTCTTAATCATTTTCTTCAAAGTAAACACGAAACTTCAATGATTCTTTTTGGCCATTAAAGATAAAATCTTAAAAAATCCTTTTACTAATTCAGATTCCTTCTCCCAGATTTTGTTACTTTCGTAGAAGTTTCAGTTGTACGTTGTGAAAGGGAAGACGGCCGGGGATAACTTTTTCGCACATAGTAGATTGAATGTATATAGGATTTAGAAACTAATGATATTTTTATATTGTATGTTTTTAATTGAGATAAGGGAAAATTGAGTTTCAGCAATCAGCTTCATATATGCAAGTGAAGCTGATTGCTGGCACTCAATATTTATGTATTGAGATACATAAAGTATCAAAAGTTGTATAAATAACTACGTCATAATGCAATGTCTTTTGTCTTCGTAATAAAGTAGTTCGGGTAGAACTCGCATAGAACTAGTAGTCTAATCCCGTGATCCTGAATGAGAGCCTCGTGACATAGTCTAGAGCTCTATTTGACCCTAATAATTCGGTCCAATCTTCCACGCCCCTTTCGTAGCCTGCCGCCATTAGGGTTTAGATAGAGTTTAGCCGTTTATATTGCTGTTTTAGATAGAATTAGTGATCCATAAGTCTTTTATCACATGAATAATCAATAGGTGTGCTCCATAATAATGGTATAATAATTCTACACCAAAGTTATATATATGGTGTAAAATGTTCAATTTATCTGTTTGATATAGTAACGTGCAGCCAAATGCATTGACTGGCAGCATAATTTTTACAATTTATCATAAGGTCATACAAATCTAATTGTATATAGACCTGCTTTTTTAAAAAAAAAAAAAAGTTCATAAAAAAATATATATATTCCACCTAATGGGATTATATTTCACCAGTATTGGTGATTAACAATGGATATAAATAATTGATGATCGATATTGATCATCAAGTAACAGGGTGTTATTGTTACTATCGTTACTATCGTTACTGGCATCATCGCGTCCGGTTCTTCGTTTATGGTGCTGTGAAAGGCCTTCCGGAAAGTGTGAAAAGCGTTTTGGTGTTGAGCTCGGACAATTTCACGAGCATTTAAAATTTCTTCGTGATCTTTGAAATGAAAAATACACAACGAATTTTTATCGTTTCGTCGATTTAGGGGATTTGCGGTTGCGTGATTCCATTCGTTCGTAGTTCTTGTTCTATTGTGAGCGTGTTACTAAACGCTTTTTTTTCTAGGTGTGATTAAGGTCGTTTTTAGCTTTCTTGGGATTTCCGGGAAGTATGAACATTTTTGTGCTTTTTTGGGAATTACGGGAAGCATGATTCCATTTGTTTTGGTTCTTGTGGTTCTTGTTCTGTCTATGAGCGTGTTACAAACGCTTCAATTTTTTTTTTTTTTTTGGTGTTGTGAAGGACGTCGTTGGTGCCGTTTTGAATAGAGACGCCGTTAATGGAATCAACACATCGTTCGGGTTAGGTGCCGTTCTTTCGGTGTTGTTATTGAAATGCTTTCGACGTTGCTTGACTTGTTTTCTTTGCTGTTTTGGCGAAGCGATTTGTTGCATTGTTGTGGTGTTCCGTATTAGGGTTTAGGGCTAGGGTTCACTTGTTTTCTTTGCTGTTTTGGCGAAGCGATTTGTTGCATTGTTGTGGTGTTCCGTATTAGGGTTTAGGGCTAGGGTTCTTATATTTGTTATGTCATTAAATGCTTTTTCTCTTTTAGATTTTTGTCTTTTCAGCCTTATACCAATTGGATTACTGATGATATTAGCAGGGTTATAGGTAATTGGGGTTTTGGTTAAAATCGTACTTCGTGGTTAGGGTTAGGTAGTTGGGATTTAGCGGTTAGGGTTGTGAGATTTTAGGTTAAAATTGTACTTTCTTTGATGCCTTGGTGAAGCATTGTTGTAGTGTTCCGTATTAGGGTTTAGGGTTAGGGTAGTTAGGATTTAGATTAAAATTGTACTTCTAATAATGAAAATTGATCACGTGAACCGTAGATCGTATAACCGGCTATATATAAATTTTCCCATAAAATTTTATAAGTTCTTGAATTTTGACCCGGCCATGAAACCCAATTAATTAATTTGCATGGCCTAAATACATTTGAATATAAATTCGTAATAATGAAAATTGATCATGTGAACCGTAGATCGTATAACCGGCTATATATAAGTTCTTAAATTTTGACCCGGCCGGGTTATGAAAGCCAATTAATTTTGCATGGCCAAAATACATTTGAATTTTATCAATACTATTTTTCATAGTTGGTACTTTAGTTAATTCTTCTACTGAGAGCGTCAATTCGTATGGTGGATAAGATAATAAAGAACTTAAAGAACTGATCTCGGAAGAGTTCATCACTTCGTTTACATATATATATCAAGTCTTGGCGAATTTATGAAATACCCCAAAATTTGAAAATTTTGACCACTAAGATATAAATATGGATTTTGGCTGTGATAAGAAAATTTTCCCGGGCTAAGGTGCGTCGTTATAATAAATTTATATGTCTAATAAGGGTAGGGAAGACGCACTATCAGTCTAGATCAGAGATCCAAAAAAATTTTCGTGATTTGGTATCGATTTATTAATATGTAAATTGGTAACTAAGATTAAGAACAAAAAGAAGTCGAAGAATAGGAGTTTTGTGTGAAAATTGGAATTAAGAGAAAGAAGTTGTTCGTGCTTATTTATAACCCACAATTCTGATGATTTCTTTCTTGAATTGGACATAAATGCATTCGTAGATTCAGGTTTAGAACAAATGTATATGCAAGGTTTTCTCAATTATCTAATTATTTGATATTTCTAATTATTTGATATAGAACTTATATTTGCTACAAAAATAAAAATATACCAAAATGTCCATGATTATCGGAGTTCAACGGAGGCGGAGAAGTAGCATTTAAGGATACAAATATCTGACTTGTCAATTCTGTTCAAGTTCATACCACTTTTTATTGATTGCATTAATGGATTTTACAGAATTCAAAACAAAAATAATCATGATTTATTTCATTGTCGTATTAGCATCTTATTTTGTAAATGAGATTTTATTGTAAAAAAAAAAATTATACAGTATTGTTAAAGAATAACGTTTAATGGCGTGGCGTACGTACAGCACGTACATACCTGATACGTACGTGCTTACGTATCTTATTTATATTTATGATCATAAGTTCAGCTATAAACTTTTTCAAAAGAATGGAGAAAAGATTAGTGGCGTTCTCAAACACCTACCTCAATGAATTCAATAAAAAAATCTGATTGGTCTGTTGGATCAAACTAGCCAATAAGATTCGTTATTGAGTCCATTGAGGTACGTAGGTGCTTGAGAACGCCCTAGATTTCTCCAAATCTCCATTTATTATCACATGATTATATACGTAACATAAGATTACTAATCATCATCGGAGTTTGTTACTTATACTCCCGCCTATCATTATACTTCGTACGATTTTTCACTAATAAAAGTGAACACCCTTTAATAACACTTTGGATAAGTTTGCATTGTCAATGAAGTTATGATAAAAATAATAAACATAATAATAACTAATAAATACACCATCTATAAAAAAATACCTATACTAATTTATAAATGCATTTTATTCTGTACAAGGATATTAATTACAAAAATGAATATTTTATCTAATCTGAAACTTTGCTGTCATAGCCCTAATAACATATTACATCATAGAACATACATATATTAATAATCATGAAATCATAAAATTTATTTTGAATTTTATATATTTTATATCATTTATTACGTGTGATTTGACTATGACGCGCGATTTTCACCGCATATGTAATGTGCGCCTAAAACCCGCGTTTTTATTCGGAGCTACTTTTATATACTTATAGAGTGTATATTTAGTCGGATTAATAATTGGTTGAATTGGCATTTTCATTGATGTATATTGTAATCTGCTGTGAAAAAATTCATTTAAAAAACTTATTTACTATTGCGAGAACACAGTATATGTTAGTTTGTATTGGCATTATCGTTGATATCTAACAATTTGCTGACAGTATGTAGTTAAAGTTATGTTAGCTTGCATTGGCATTATCGTTGATGTCTATCGTAATTTATTGTAAAAAATTTATTTAAAAAACTTACTCGCTATTGCGGTGACATACGGCATGTACACAGGTAAAATGAGGTTCAATAGGGAACCTCCCTACTGCCGCCTTTTTTGGCACCAAAAGAGGTTAATAGGGTATCGATTAGAGCAATAGTACTCAATAAGGGCATCAATAGGTTTTTACTGATTGTAAATTACTTTACAGAAATCTTACATTTTTGCGAAAGCGACAAATATCCTAGATTTGGTGTAAATTATTATTAATAATATAGGTCTCTAACAGGAAATTTCATAGCAAGCACTAATTTAGTTTCTTACTAGCACTATTAATAAGGCTTTTTGATTGAGTATGAAAATTTTCTAATTTTCATACTCAGTCAAAAAGCCTCGTCAAAACCTCGTTAATGGTGCTAGTAAGAAACTAAATTAGTGCTTTGCTATGAAAATTTCCTGTTAGAGACCTATATTACAGGATGTGTCGATAAAGTCGTATAAATTTCAATCAAATTCGTAACATCACACGAAATTCGATTTTGATCTTTCATTGATATCTCGTTTTCTGGTGATTGAACTTTGATAATTTTAGTATTTTAGTACCATTTTAATCGTCTTTATGAGACAATTCGAATGTTTCTAAAATCATCAAAATCCAATCACCAGAACACGAGATATCAGTGAAAGATCAAAATCGAATTTCGTGTAATGTTACGAATTTGATTGAGATTTATACTAATTTGGTTGACATATTCTGTACGTATTAATAATTTATGCTAAAATCTAGAATATTTTCGCTTTCGCAAATTCCGCAAAGTATTTAGTTAATAGTACCAATCGAGACCAGGGTGTCAATAGGGTATCAATAGGGTCAATAACGATAAGGGTTTCTAATTGTAGACTAAGAAATCGGTGTTAAAAGGAATGAAAAAAAAAATCATCCAAATATTATTAACAAAGATAACGCGAAAAATTGATAAACATCTAATTATAGTTTGATTTTTATTTTAATTAATAAATAAGTTTTTCGAACATATTAAATTATAAATTTGATTTAGAATAACCTTTCACATATATCATTTAAGATATAAACTTTTATCCCTAACCCTAAAAGGTTAATCATACTAATACATACACAGCCCGTTTCATATTTAATTTCTGATAACCTGTCATTTCTTGATAGTCCTAATATTCAAGTTTTTGATAGGATTTATGCTTTTCTTTGGTTCATTTGAACCAAAATGATTTCATTCCGGTTTATTTGAACAAACCCGGGTTAAAATGATCCATTCCGGGTTTATTTGAACCCAACACAGGCTGAATTAAGGCATATTGGGATTAAAAGTATATAACAAATTCAATGCAAACTAACTTACCTTAACACTGAAATAGGAAGTAGCTTCTGTAATAAACTTATTTACAATAATTCTTTACAAAGTGCATGATAATTCCAATACAAATTAATTCATATATTGTGGTCACTAGAATAGCAAGTTCTGTAAAAGAATCATTTACAGTAACTCAATAGAAATCATGGCAATTTTATTGCAAACTAACTCAACTGAAATTAAGATCACTAAAATAGTGAGTAAATTCTGAAACAGAATTTTGTTTACAATACCTTACAATAAAAATCATGATAATTCTAATGTAAACTTATTTAATCAAAATAGTTTTGCAACAGAAATTTTTTAGTGATTTATAAATAAATTATATTAATCTCAACACAAACTAACATATCCTAAGCACTTTTCATAGTTACAAGAATAGTAAGTAAGGTTTGCAACAGAATTATTTAAATAATCATGACAATTTTAATACAACTTATATTATTATGATTATTAGAATAGCAAGTAAGTTCTATAAAAAAAATTTTTTTATAGTAATTTACAATAAAAAATAAGAATAATTTCAATATAATTTTAACTTAATACTATAGTCACCAGAATAGCAAGTACTATATAGAATTATTGATAGCAATTTTTAATAGAAATTATAATAATTCTAATACAAACTAACTTACCTTTAACTACATATTATAAGTTCTATAACAGAATTTTTTAGATAAAAATCTTATTAATTAATACAAACTATCTTAACTTATCAATATACTGTGATCACTGAAACAGCAAGTATTATAACAGAATTGTTTATAGTAGAAATCATTTTGATGCAAATTATCTTAATCTTAACTATATAATGCAGTTCTATATTGCACTAGTGATAGATAACATAATAAATATATAAAGAATGCATTGTAATAAGAAACAATATAAAGTAGTTAATTACAAGTGGAGTAAATTAAACAAAAAAGAATTAGCTATTTAATTGTGATAAAAAAAATAGAAGTAATAAAATTTTATATAGTACTAGATAGCAAGAAATATCCACTTTTTATATATAAATATAAAAATGCTTATAACTTATGAACAAATAACTTTAAAAAAAATCTGTCTTACAGATTTATTGCTTTAGTCTAAGCT